TCCAACTCCACCAAAAAAATCCTCAACTCCAGAGTTGGAGTTAGAGTTGGAAATTTGAAGACGAAGTTGAAGCTGGAGTGGAGTAGGAGTTGAAAGTCAGCGGAGTTACCCAGCCCTGGTTTTCGTTATGTCGCAAAAATTCGTTTTTGTGAAACTCCTCACCATTGAAAGTTTAATACCACTTTGATCTGGAAAAATAGAAATTTTTAACTTCTTCTTGGTCTCGTATGCTGATGAATAGATGGTCTAACTAAGCTGAGTATAAGCTTACAGATTTATGGGCACAGACTGTAGAGTCGACAGTTAAAGCTTCTAGTACGGGTTCTCAGAGAGAAGAGAGGAGATGTTGCCTGCCTATAAATACGAAGGACTTCTAAACTGTTTCAAGGGCTTTTTGTTTATAAAATACTTTTAAAATGAATTCATAAAATTTTTAGCTCAAATATTTCTAAAAGCTTCTTTCAACTCATATTTTAGTCATATTCATATTATCTTCCATATAACTAATGAAACATATTCGACGCCTTTGGCCGAGATCTCGACCACATGGCGAACAGTCAGCAACAGCCGATAATCAACAGGAAATGCCAGATGAACATTCAGCATCATTCTTAAAATTAACGAAATTATTATGTTCAGCTCTAATTCCAATAATGATTGCTGTTTTTACAATTGTTGTAACCCTACAAGAACGTGATCTGGCGAATCGTCAACGTGATTATGATGAACGTCAAGCCGACAATGAACAACAAGAAGATATATTTAAAATATACATTCAAGACATATCAAAAGTGTTACAAACACAGCCAGATAATCGGGGTATATCCACACAAAATCTATTATTTATTCGCACACAAACTCTTACAGCTCTACGTAAATTAGATTCTAAACGTCGTACATATGTTTTTCTATTTCTCTATGAAAGTAAATTGATACAATCACCAACAAAATTAGATTTAACTGGTGCTGATTTTACAAATATTCATTGTGATGGTATAACGAAAAATACATTAAAAGACTTACATTTACCTGGTGTTGACTTGTCTCATTCATGTTTCATTAATTGTTATATCGATGGTACAAATTTTGCTGACTCAATAATGTTGGATATTAAATTTACCAATTCTGTTATTATTTTGACAACATTTAAAAGTTGTTTAATGGATCGAGCAGATTTTAGAAATGGAAAAATGTTTTACAATACATTTAATAGTGCATCATTAGCCTATAGCGATTTTTCAAATATTATTGATATAAAAGAAAATAATTTTACAAATGTTAATTTAACTGGAACTAAAGTAACATATAAAAACTTACTTTATGAGAATAATACATTTCATAATTCAATTATGCCTAATGGAACATATGGACCTATACAGCAGAAGAATTTAGTTGTTAATGGAGATGCAGAAACAAATGTAAGTTTCGAAACTATTGTCTATGGAATTCTTTCAAAGGAAATATGCGCTTCGACTGTAAATCGAGTCTAGGACATTGGTTTCTAAGCTAGTGTTCTCTCTCTGAGGTATAGAAAGACACTGTCCAGTCACGTTAATCCTCCTTTTGATCATATGTAAGTATGCAACAGTCTCAGTTAACTGTAATTAGTAGTAACTAGGCATGCACCAGTTTTGAAAAATCGAACATCGATTATACGAAATCGAATTTTTTCGCATACATTTTAGCAGAGAAGAATGAATAATTTTTGTTGATGTTGACTTACGAGGAAAGGTCCCTAAGTGTGCATTCGCTTTTTGCTTAAAATCTAGTGGACAATAGGTAACCGACTGTGCTAAATCTGAATCTGACATCGGTTCGTGCTGCTAGGCCTCCAGAGACCGAGTTTCTGGAAAAACAGGTTTTCAAAAACTCTAAAAACTAATCAAAACGTTTCTTAATGAGGCATAATTGTAGATCGCAAATTTCTGATTGAAATGAGATATCTCCCAGCTCTACACGACCTTTCTTCGCAAAGTTATAGAATTTACAAGAGAAACCCTAAATGTTCAAATGTTCTCAAAGCTATAGCTTTGAGAACATTTGAACGGTAAAGTCGCGTTTCGCCAATTCAACTTTCGCCAATAGACATTCTCCATATTGGCGACTGGCGAATGTCCACACGACATCCGCCAGATTGACATTCGCCAGTACCCCTACGACATGGAA